CCCCAAAACCCCAAAACCCCAAAACCCCAAAACCCCGGTCATCATAAATCCAAGGTAAATAGAATATTTGATGTAACTAATTAAATTGATTCAAACTGGGTTTAGTAGCAGATTCAAGAATTCAATATCTCTTACAAGCAAAAGCCTATCATATTTATCGCTGCTTACCTTCTAATTATCCTTTTATTTATCTTCAAACATCTGGTGTTAATTCATCATTAAATTATTTTTTTATGCCTATCTGAGTAAAATATCAAGAGCAGATTTCTAATTCAATAATTGCCTTAAATACTGACAGTACTTTAGGCCATTACTGTCATATAATTTTGAAAATATCTTCTCAGATTTTTGTAAGTATTCAAAAGCCTATTACTAGGCTTAAGAATTTCTTAGTAACATGAATACTAGGGAGTGATAAAAGTTGACAATAGCCAGTCCCTAATTCGATTTCAACTAATTATAGATTTGCAATAGTGTCTGGAGTTCAGTTGCTGCACTCTGATAGTTACCAACTCTCAAGAATTAATATACCAGAAGAAGGCTGACATTTGCTTTGAATCTTAAATCTTATTCAAGGATGAGAAATTTGCTTTTTAATTCAAGAAACGTTGGAATATCTATAGAATTTATCGCTACTGAGCTTAGGTATTCATATGCTAGGTCTATCATAAGTTGTTTCTCTATTTCTTGACTTAATTTCTGAATATTTTACTAACTCTGAGGCTTCAATGTTTTAGATAAACTATTTACACTGCTTTTTGAGAGATGACTTCTAATACTAATATCCAGATCATCAACAAAATCTTGTCTATTCACAGTTGTTGGCATCTTATAATTAAGCACTCCTCTTCTTACTGTAAGTTTATTTTAAGATGATGTGATTAATCTCATCTTTTGAGTTACTTAACTATTTCTAGTTATCTTGAGATTAGAAGTTTTGTTACTGATTGAGAAGAAATCTGAAATGTTGATATCCAATCGATCCAATTTATCTAATTGCGCCTAATACCTTTATTTTTCCCACTCTTCAATATGGTCACTTAGAATTGGCTCATTTTCTTCAAATTACTTTTATATCTCAACTCCTATTGTCTTATTTCTGTTAGAATCTTCTCTAATCATAAAGTCATATGAAGGTACTTTCATTTGCTCTGAGTTTTATTGGATTAATTTAGGTTAATTAATACTCATAGATTCAGTTTCTAAATCAAAGTCTGGATGTCTTCGGATTACAGTTTCTCCACCAATAGATGAAGGTACACGAATAATTTGAGTTTATTATGACTAGTTATCAAAGCTCTAAGGTTACAATTAAACTTCAGCTTAACTTCTAGCTTAGAAGTTCTAAGAAAAAGTATTAGAGTATCTCCTTTCAAATGTTATTCTTTTGAATTAAGTTTTAGTATATTGTTTTGAAACCAAATTTTCTCCAACTAGCTCAACAGTGTTATTAAATTCATAAGTATTTCTATTCAAAAAGAACTGAATTGAGTGAATTATGTTTCTCTCATGTTAATCTAGGAATTTATATAAACTTTCCAATTCTTAAGAACCTTAATGGACATTTCTTTTTATTGTTTTTATCATTTTGAGATAAAATTTCATGAGCTTTATATTCGCTTCTCTCTTATATGAATCTTGAATTTTAATTTCTAAGTATTTCCTAACAATATTATGAAGCTAATACTAATCTTTCTCCTAGTCATAATAAATCAATGAAATTTTATCTAGATAGGATAGAGCTTCTAAAGTATCTTAATCATTTTCTGAAATAAGCTTTAGTTCCGAAAATGATACACCTTCTAAAGTTTATCCTATAATACACAGTATTTGCAATATAAATATTTTTTCACCTAAGAATATAGACTTAATTGCTTCATCTACACTTAGAAGCAAAGAATCTCCGATTTCAGTAAAGAATTTGTTTGAAATTAAGAGTTAGTAAATATCAACTAGAGTGTGGTTAATCATTAATGAAGATACGATACTAATGGCTAAGGGCTGGTCTAAGATTTTAAATATTGGATGCTTTAAAAGGTATTAGTTTATACATTCCTAGTAATTTCCTCTGTGAGATATTAATTTGCAAGACTATTCACATAACCTTAGAGTGTTTTTAAATTCAGGATTTATTTGCAAAGTAAAATTGTGGAGATCATTTATAGATTTATATTCGAAATTTTTTTGTTACAATTCATTATTGGTTGTCTTTTCCTAGAGAATTTATAATGACTTTGCTGGACTTAATCCCTTTATATGTTTAATTGCTAAATTTTCAAGGCCATCAATATAAATTGAGGTGCTAAGAAGAATCTTCAATGTCTCTTTCTCTTGTATTGTATGATTTAGATACCTTATCAATTCCAACTTTTGGTTTATTGCTAGCTCATCAATATTATCTAAGGATAATAGGCATTGTTGATGAAACGGTAGAAGATCATTTAGCTTTCACAGTAAACTTTTGATTGTTTCTTTCCCTCTACTTTGATAAGATATCAAAGGAAGATTCAAATTCTTACATATTCTTTTCACTATTTAATAGATTGCATCTATCACTGTCTAAATTCCGCTTAGGTTTATATAAATAATGCCCCCTGTAAACTAATCTCTATCAGCAAGGTAAAGAGTGGCTTTCTTAAGAATTGTCGACTTTCCAGAGCCTGACATTCCAAATATCTTAACTATTTTCACTCTATTATCTTGAATCATTTTGATAACAGAATGTATTTCCATATTTCTTGCAATGTATGGATGCTGATTAAATGGAAGTATCATCAATTTAGGCAAAGGCAATAAATTTTTTAATCTTCCAACTTATAAATTATCAAAACTTTTTTATTACTTGTTTTTGCAGTGATGGTTAATCTAAGTTATCAGTTTAAACATTCTAGATTCTTTTTAGCCATACATCATTTCAATGTGATTGAGTGAAACTTGATAAGCTTAGCAAATTGACAAGTTAGAGGCGAAAACATTGGTATAAAAAGTTCTAGAAAAAGTGATAGCTACCTCATCATTAAGTTATTTATTTTGTTAAATGCATATTACATGAGAGGCACCAGCCTTTTTAAATATCAAGCCACAATTCTCAGAGTGACAGGAAGCAACAACTACAAATTATAGATCTGAAGGATATTAACTAAGTATTTACTTTAGATCTTTCTCAAACAAAAATTAAGATACTCCTCCATTTTATTCCTCAAATATGAGAATATCTCCTTTATCTCTAATCTTCATAAAATAACTCTAATCTTAAAAATTTTCCCTCCTATTTTATAGTCCATGACCTGAGAAATGCAAGCCAATTGTCCTTTAACGAAGACAGTCTATTAGATTCTAGACAGTTGCCAATTGATATCTGTATTTAATTTATAACCGTTCAACTTCTAGGCCTTACATTATTTACCTGAATTCCTCTTTGAAATTTATATCTTCTAGCATTTCATCATAAAGTTTATCATTTATTTGGACTACTAATGGACTTGAATAGAGATAAGAAATATGGATTTAACTCTAATTTTTTAAGTTTTTATTATCATTTGGTTTTGAAGTTGATAAACTTCTTTGTAGAGTATTATTTTTTATTGCAAAAGAAAGACTGTTTTATTTTAGCAAACTTAATTCCTCATTCACATGCCTATCATCTGATGATACCAGTTTGATCATATTAATTTCTTATAGTTATTACAGTAAATAGTCATCTCCATCTGATCCTTCAATATTTTAGTCTTAATTACTCTCATAATCTTGATTTATTAATTTTTGAAAATAATCAAATATTTAATGACTTTGAACTTATTTGTTATTTTTTATCTCTTGAATATTCAAGATATAATCCTTATTGTTTATTTTTATAAGTTAATTACCATTTATTGATAATAACTAGATTAGCTACTCAATTGATTTAATTTCCTCTGCATGAATGCTTAGCGGTCTCTAATAAACAGTTTTCTAAATGCCACAAAATTGGCAACTCATATTAAGTCCCATTTAATAATTAATTATAAATTATATAAAGCCTTTATTATTTTTATAGTTAAAACTTATTTCTTCACAATTTATCATACTATGGGGTTTTGGGGTTTTGGGG